GCGAAAATAATTAGAGTTAGTAAACCAATATCTAGAAACTCTTCTTTATATCTAATTATTTGCTGTAATATTTGTGTTCTGTCGTGACCTAAGGCGCGATGCTTGTTCATCCGCGAGTTACTTTGTATGCGTTGTTTGTGTTAAGTAACCAGAAACTTCTTATGTTTGTTACATAATTAGTTTTATTAACTTTTACGATTGTAAATTCATTGAAAACGCAATTATTTTTGTAAGTCTTTGTTTAAATAATAAAAAATGCTTTAAAAGATACATTACGATAAAAAACAAATACACAAAATTACGTTTACATAAAGAATACAATCTCTTTTAAAATAAAAAATAAAAATATACTAATAAAATCTATAATTTATAATAAACTTTTAAAATTTTAACAATTTAATTAATATATAGTTAAAACATTTATTTTCGTAAACAAATAATATATATTCTTAAAACAATACTAGAAATCTCATAACGTAACAAGTCGTGAATAATACAATTTCTAAAACATTTTAACAGAATACTCTAGAACTTTATTTCGCTTAATCAGCGTATTTTTTGAACCAATAGAATTAGTTTGTTTGTTAATTTGGCGGGTTTTTAGTGTTCGCAAATATTCTTTTTATTCTTTCGCACGAAGATAATTTGAGAACATTCTAGTTTATTATGTTTCCATGTATGTCTGTAAAACAAAAATTCTGTGTTTCGTACATAAACTTAAATGTTCTCAAAACGACTAAAAACCTGGCCAGTTTTACGCAACTAAATATAATTTCCGTGGTCAATATTCGAGAGCGATCGCTCCCGCTTCCCGACCAAGCCTGATATATATATATATATATATATATATATATATATATATATATATATATATATATATATATATATATATATATATATATATATATATATATATATATATATATATATATATATATATATATATATATATATATATATATTTATTTATTTGTTTATACATTGTACTTGTTATTATTATTGTCAGATTTATAAATTTTAATCCATGTAATTGATCTAGGGTAAGCCAGATTCATTGTGAGAAAGAAAAAATCTTTGAAATTTTTTGATTTTATTCCAAAAATATCCACTTGTATAGAGTTTAGTCGAAGGAGACTTTAATGGTAAAAAAAGTCTCTTTCAATTACAATTTTTTTACCTTGTTTCTTAAGCTGCAATTTATTGTCGTGGAAATGTCATAGCAATTAAATTAATGCGGAATTACATTAAATTTTATTGTTTTTAAAAAAAACCGCAATAATAATGACTAGAAAGTTTTTTTTAATTAGAGGTGTTTTTGTTTTTGTTTTATTAAAAAACATTTTTAAAACATGCGTAAGTGTTGCTGCATCAACTATCTTATAGCCTGCTGCTACAAGGAAGTGTTGCTACATCGACTATTTTATAGCCTGACTCGCAAGGGAGTGCTGCTATATCGACTGACAAATAGCCTGACTCGCAAGGGAGTGCTGCTACATCGACTGACAAATAGCCTGACTCGCAAGGGAGTGCTGCTACATGGACTGACAAATAGCCTGACTCGCAAGGGAGTGCTGCTACATCGACTTAGGGTTTGGTTTGGTCAGGCAATCTATCATTTAAAAAAAAATTTTTTTTTAAGTTTTTTAACATTTTCTGGTCAGGCTTATTAACGCGCTCTTTAAAACAACAGTTTATGGGAAAAACTTTCTTACTACCATGCAAGACTATATATATATATATATATATATATATATATATATATATATATATATATATATATATATATATATATATATATATATATATATATATATATATATCTGTGTGTGTGTGTGTGTGTGTGTACATGTATATATATATATATATATATTTATATATATATATATATATATATCTATATGTATATATATATTTATATATCTATATGTATATATTTATATCTCTATATGTATATATATATATATATATATATATATATATATATATATATATATATATATATATATATATATATATATATATATATATATATATATATATATATATATATATATATATATATATATATATATAGAATCTTATTTGATATAACTTAAAGTTTTTAGATAATGGTTTACTAATTCTAATTATTTTTGCTTCATTTGCCATTCCTAAAACCTTGTTATACATTTTTCTGTTTTAAATACTAATTCAAATTAAAAAGCTCACTCACTAAACATCAGCGATAATGTTAAGCAGTTTCGCTTCCTTGTCATAACGTATTTTTAACCTTTTTAATTGATTTCTATATAGTTAATTTAATTTCTGCCATAACTCAATGATTTAATTATTTTATTTGTTTATCTTACTAAGAAGAATTGTTTCAAATATGTTAAACTTTTCCTACTACGCGAAGCATAAAATAGTTATTAAAAATATTAACTTTCTTATTTATAAAACAATTTAGCTTGAATAAAACTAAAACTAGTGTTACTTTAATTAGAATCTTGTTAGAATTTTCGGGGCTGGGCGCTACTTTTATTATTGAGGCCTTTTTATGTGCCACAGTGTAAAAAAGATTAAAAAAAAGTCTTCTTGACTTTTGCGGGACCAGGGGCTATAGCTCCCTCTGGACCAAAAAAAATCTTTTAAATGTTCAAAAGATGTGAAAACGTGTATAAGACAATTGAAAGATGTCTTTTTTACGTCCGTGCTCTTTGAGATATAATTAAAAATTACATTACACTCATTTTTTTTTTTTTTTTTTTTTTGCAATTGTAAGATGTTACTTTATATAAAAAATGTCACTTAATTTTATAAAGAAATTATAAAAGAGCAATGTTTCGAAAATACTTGTTGTAACAGTTTATTTTGCTTTAAGTTTCTTCGCGTTAAAGTATATTTTATTTTCGTAGTTTGTTTTTTTGTAATTGTCGCTCATTGGTCCAAATAGCCTGACTCGAAGTGGAGTGCTGCTACATCGGCTGAGGGTTTGGTATGGGTCAGCAACCTTTTCATTCATTATTCTTCGTTTTCCCTCATTGTTTTCTAAAAACGCTTACTTAATTTAGGCTAGCAAAAAGAGTGAGCAATTGCGCATATAAATATTCTATAGTAGATATATATATATATATATATATATATATATATATATATATATATATATATACATATATATATATATATATATATATACATATATATATATATATATATATATATATATATATATATATATATATATATATATATATATATATATATATATATATATGTATATATATATATATATATATATATATATATATATATATATATATATATATATATATATGTATATATTTATATATATATATATATATATATATATATATATATGTATATATTTATATATATATATATATATATATGTATATATATATATATATATATATATATATATATATATATATATATATATATATATATATATATATATATATATATATATATATATACACTGTGTCAAAAAAGTTTTCATCCACCTATCTTGCACATTTTAAAAATGCAATAACTTTTTATTCAGCAAAGATGCAAGCATGATATAAACTAAATTATATCATTTAAACATTTAAGAAATATTGTACAAAAAAAGTTTTTTAAAGTAATGAGTTACAAATAAAATACAGCATTTTGGAATAAAAGATAGACATCTTTGTCTCAAAAAAGTTTTCATCCACTTTACAAAAATCAAATAAAATTGTCATACGAACTCAATTTATTAGTGTTTTAATAACTTGTGTTTCCACCACGAGCTTTTATTATTTCGTGTAGTCTGTTTTTCATTGAACAAACTAATTTTTTAGTAATTTCTGGAGTGATTAAGCCCCACTCTTTCATAATTACTAATTGGAGTTGTTGTTGCGAATTAGGACCTCAGAATTAGGACCTCACATCGTGGGTCCTAATTCTTCTACCCAATTCATCCCACAGATGTTCAATAGGATTCAAATCTGGAGATTGTGGGGGTGTATGAAGTTGCTTAGCTATTTTAAATATAAGCCATTCCTTGACACGTTTGGCAGTATGTTTTGGATCGTTATCTTGCTGAAAAGTAAATGACCTAGTAAGTCCCAATTTGTGGGCACTTTCTTCCAGATTATTTTTTAGAATGTTTAAATACACATTTTGATCCATATTTCCATCAATGAAAACCAAGTTTCCTACACCTGAAGCACTCATACACCCCCACACTAAAACACTTCCTCCGCCATGCTTCACCGTTGGACACAAGTTTTGTTTTTTAAATGCTTCATTTGGTTTTCTCCAAACTTTAACTCTTCCATCTGATGAAAACACATTAAATTTTGATTCATCGCTGAAAAGGACCAATTCCCAGAATGTTTGTGGTTCATTGATATAAAGTTTTGCAAAGTGTAGTCGTTTGGCTTTGTTGACTTTGCTGATATAGGGCTTTTTCAATGGTACTTTACCATTGTATCCAGCTCTTCTTAAGGTTATTCTAACAGTTTCAGGGTCCACTTTTAAATTGTAATCATTTTGCAGCATTCCAGCGAGTTTTGGAGCACTTATTTTAGGATTCTGGATGACTGTTCTTAATATAGCTCGTCGATGCAATACTTGAATTTTATTTGGACGCCCTGTACGTGGCTTATCAGCAATTTTTTTGGTGGTTTGGTATTTCTTAATAATAGACTGCACAGTTGCATGTGATTTCTTTACTATTTTTCCTATATTTCGCTGTGATTTTCCCTCTTTCCATAGTCTAACAATAAGCAATCTAATTTCCTCTGCAACTCTCATTTTTATTAATAATCTAACAAAAATAAAAAATATAAAAAACTCATATAAAAAAAAAAAAATACAAAAATCTTACTAAATCTAATTTATATTTTAAAAATGATACTTTAATACTGATTTAATAACAAATTGAGGTTGGAGTGCAGGGTGGATGAAAACTTTTTTGGCGCAAAAACAGGCATTGTTTATGTTTAAATGTTGTATTTTAATTTCTATTCATT